ATCCCCGGACTGTATTCCTCAGATTTTTATGATCTTGCACTTTTTTTCTTTTCCTCCTTAACACTTACTTCTGGGTCACTATCTCAGGAGGCCTATGACCATGTTAGTGTGTTGCTTGGGGAGCTCTGGGTCATCTTAACTCTTTCTACTGATCTTATTGACTAAATGTGGATTAACAGTCTTAAGTCACATTCTTATAAATGTTTGTGTTTTTTAAATTACCCCATATTTCAGGTGGTCATTTAGAAAAGAAGTGAAAGCTGTAAAAATAGTTTTTTTTGTTTCTTTTTTTATTGTGGTCATAATAGCTTATAACATAGTGAGATTTCAGTTGTACATTATTGTTTGTCATACACCATATATGTGTGCCCCTTCACCCCTTGTGCCCACTCTCCCCCCCCCCCCGCCCCCGGGAACCACTAATTTATTCTTTTTGTCCATGAGCTTGTTTATATTCCATGTATGAGTGAAATCATACAGTGTTTGTCTTTCTGTGGCCTATTTTGCTTAACACGATGCCCTCAAGGTTCATCCATGTGGTTGTGAAAATAGTTTTTTAATTATACTTTATGAAATATTGAGTGAAGAGACTTCAAAAATCAGAATGTAAAATTAGTCTCTCTTCCAGTGATCGATAGGAAAGAACAGGAGGGGCAGCAGTGTGAGGGCTGGAAGGTAATAAAGCTCAGGTAGACCAAATTTTGGACTAGACTGTGTCTTTCTTTGGAGGAGACAGATTTATAAAAGTTTTCAACAATATCAATTTTTTGTATTTTTGGGAAATTATCAAATGAATACATGAACTGTTTAGGAAGATTTTTTTTCAGGTTTTCTAAAAGTAGTTTCCTTTAAAAAAAAAAAAGTTCCGGGGCTGGCCCCACGGCCGAGTGGTTAAGTTCGCGCGCTCTGCTTCAGCAGCCCAGGGTTTCGCTGGTTCGAATCCTGGGCGCCCGTGTGGCGTCACTCATCAAGCCATGCTGAGGCAGCATCCCACATGCCACAACTAGAAGGACCCACAACTAAAAATATACAACTATGTACCGGGGGGCTTTGGGGAGAAAAAGGAAAAATAAAATCTTTAAAAAAAAAAAACTAGAAAACTAAAAAAAAGTCCCTACTTCCATAATCAGCTAGGTCCATTCTCAGCTGTTGAAGCTACAGAAAGCTGTGAATCTCGACAGTAACCTTGTGTGTCCTGTTTTACAGACACGTTGTCAAATTGTAGTTTTCGGAGGAAGACATGTTTTTCTTTGAAGTGACTATTCTGAGTGTGGGAGGCAGAATAATGGCCCCCAGAGATGCTCATGAACCCGTGAACGTGTTCCCTCACATGGCAAAGGGAATTTTCTGGCTGTGATTAAGTTCAGGATTTTGAGATGAGCACGTTACCTTGGATTGTTCAGGTGGCCCTCGTGTAGTCGCAGGGGTCCTTATAAGAGGGAGGCAGGGAGTTCAGAGTTAGAGAGAGTGAGACGAGGAGGTCAGAGTGGTGTGGGGCCACGAGCTGAGGTTGCAGGCACCCTGTAGAGAGTGGGAGAGGCAAGAAGCCTAGAGACTCGGGAAGAACACAGCCTTCTGACCCATCGGAGACTCCGGAACTACAAGAGATAAGTGTGTGTTGTTTTAAGCTACTAAGTTTGTAGTTATTTGTTTCAGGGTAACGGGAAACTAATATACTGAGGAAGGGATTGCGTCCCTCATTGACTCAATATTGAGTGTCTGCTCTGTGCCAGGCGGCGTTCCAGGCCCGGGGACTCAGTGGGGCACAAACCAGAGTAGGGCCCAGATCACCTGGACCTTACTTTCCAGAGGGAAAGAGAGAACAGGGTTGCAGAGTGTGCCGGGTGCTGAGGTGAGAATAAAATTGTCAGACAGTAGAGAGTGACTGGATGAGGAGCTGCAGAGGGAGCTCATTGTGAGGGGGCCTCAGTCTCAGGAGGCCTCTCTGTGGAGGTGACATTTAAGCTGAAACCTGAGTGACAAAAGGAAGCAGCCCTGCTGAGCAGTGACTCTCCTGCTGTCTCAGGAGGCAGAGCTTCTTAGGATGACGGCTCGCCGCCCCTCAGGTCAGAGGGCAGGAGGGGGCTGTTCGGATCCCCTCATCCCCTGTGGGTGGGAAGTCTCTGGAAGTTCTTGGCATGCACGGGGAGGAGGGTGTTCTCTCTGTGATGCTTGACGTGCACGTGCAGGGCGCCGTCATCACCCATCCTCTGCTGCTTCCTTGCGAAACTCCGTCGACAACTTCGCAGGCTGTTCGGAGACCAGGAGGAGCCTTGGCTCCCAAAGCGGTTCACTGATGCTGTGACAGAGCCAAGACCTTTTACTTCTGTCGTCAGATTCTGAATGGGCTTTGTAATCTGGAGGGAGCAGCCTGCCTGCCTGCCTGCCGCGCCATCGCCCAGCTCTTTGCACGGAGGAGAGTCTTGCTGTTGCTGGCTCCTTATGAATAAGGGCTGCAAATCACTCTTGCATTCTATATGTTCTCATATCCCTTGGAATGTAATTGTTGACGTGGATTTTAGAAAATGTTTGTTCCTGTCACCTGGTTTTACCAGCAAAAAAGCAGCCCCAAAAGAGGACGTGACCCAAATGTGTTGAAAGCTTTCACAGCCCCTTCCTATGTCTGCTGAGGCCAGAGAGAATGCACCTGAGGACAGGGGACGGCAGGGGCAATGCTTGGCCTCGCTTTTGCTTTCTCTGCTACATCTTTTTATTATTATTTTATTTTACTTTTTATTATCTTAGTTGTTGTTGTTGAGGAAGATTCACCCTGAGCTAACATCTGTGCCAGGCTTCCTCTCTTTTATGTATGTGAGTCACCACCATAGCATGGCTGACCTGTGGTGTAGGTCCACGCCCAGGATCCTGGGAATGCTGGGCGGAACCACAACACCATGGGGCCGGCCCTCCTACACCTCTTTAAAAGTAGTCATGCACCTACCCTGTCCAGCTATTAACATATGTAAATTGCTTATGCATACAACTGAGGATGTTTTCTGCCTTGCAAAATGTTTACTTTAGTGGTCTTGATTCTTAATTAGGTCCTGACTTTTTGAGCCCCCAAATATCGTGCCCCCCAGAATTAGAAGTGTAAATGACCCTGGGGGCCTCCTTCTCAAGCCTAGCTGATGGTGGCGGGCTCAGGAGATAGGAACAGTGCATGGAGGGTCCTACAAAGTCTGTGTCACATTGTAAATATATATGTAGCGGGATCTTTTGTTTTTTGTTTTTTTAATGAGTAGAGTAAGGTAGTTACACTTAGTAATACCCATTCACCAAAAGGAAAGGGGGGATGGGTTAAATCATTGTGTTTTTTGATGAATGGCTTGTACACTGAAAAATAAATTGGACAAACTGGCATGGAGCTCGGTGAACATGAAATCAGCTATTAGAAGAAAGCTTGTGAACAAATTCTGAGGCAGATATGCATCTTTTGATTAATGCCCTATCAATCATCCACACAGCTACCTTAGCTAAGTCTTGCTGTAATCATTCATGGTTGCTTTCGGAAACACTGGCAGAAACTATAGCGCTGCAGAAACGCAATATTATTACTGATTTCTCCCTAACTTACTGTGAACAATGACTGTTTTCACCATGTTTCTGCTTCTCTTTTATTAAAGAAATACAATACAGAATGAAAGGAGAGTTCCTCCAAGCCTGGTGAAATTCTCCTAGGGTATTCTTAATGATATTCAGTCTTAAATGGGCAAGCTATTGTAATGCAAGGTTCTCTGTAGAAATAATAGTAATGTAATCCCATTGAAGCTGCCTTTTATGGATTGTAGTCAAATAGGCCAAATGTGGAGTCACATTAATGAACAGAGTATATCTTTGGAATTATTGCTTAAAGTTGTTGAAATGGTTTGAATTTTGTTATTGTAATTATTATATTCTCGGTTAATGCGCTTAACAGCAATAGTAATTAACCCACCAGATTGGAAATTTGCATGAATTCTACCTTTGACATTACAAGAAACCCTGATTCTTTCTGGGTATTACACAGCAGAATGGGGGAAATATATATATATATTTTTTTCACTGATTATTTTTTGAGAAAGAAATTTTCATGAACGCAATTACAGTTTTTCATGCGTTTTTAAGCCATTGGCAAATTCCTCAAGAGCACTCCATTCTTTGAAGAGGATTTGATTCCTAAACTAGCCTGGCACAAAGAACAATCTGGCATTGCCTACTAGTCGAGAAATCTTTAGGTAACGGTGCAGCTTCCTGCGAACTTCCTGTAGCCTGGGAAACGCTGTGGCATAATGAAGTGGTGACAGGCATTAGCATGTATAATGGGCTTTAATAGACATTTAATGCTGTTTAGCTGGAAGAGGGAGCTGTGCTCTCCCATTGGAATATTCCTCCATCGGAGCCCATTGATCACCGATTTCAGCCAGGAGAGGTTAATCCATCAGCTTCTGTAACCAGACGGCACTGATGGAAATTCTTTAGGTGGCATTCTGGATGAACCAAGCTTTCCATCTTTACAAACAAATGAGTGATATGACAAGCATGGTGTTCAAAACACATTTAACCAATTGATTTTCTTTCCTCTTGTAATAAGATCTGGAGACATATGAAAGCACGCAGTGTGAGCCGAGATTAAAGGAATTGCTCCATGCACGGGAACATGCGGGACTGAGAGCCAATAAAAGTACTATAAAGCATGTAGTCACCCAGGCTCTTTGTTATATAAAGTTTGTTATTGCAATAAATAGCTGTTATTGAGCCGATGCCTTTTGTTTCCGTTTTGCTGAGTCTTTCGTGTCTGGGTGTGTGTGTGCACGCACACGCGTGTCTTGTCTTAGTGGTCATCCTTCTCTGGGAGGTTCGTAAGACGTTGGTCAGTAATCGTTTTTACCTGCTAATGAAAACAGACAGACCTGATGATGTGGCTCAGGATGGTAAAGCTCAGAGTGAAGGTGCAGGCGGGCTGTGCTCCCGGGTCTCTGGCTTCTGCAGACATGATGGTCCTGTCTTTGTCTCCCGCGCAGCCCCGCCCTGAGTTTCACCTACCCATCCGCGCCCGTGTCGCTCCACATGCATCAGCAGATCCTAAGCCGACAGCAGAGCTTAGGCTCGGCCTTCGGACACAGCCCTCCGCTCATCCACCCTGCCCCAACCTTTCCAACGCAGAGGCCTATTCCCGGGATCCCTGCCGTTCTGAATCCCGTCCAGGTCAGCTCTGGCCCTTCGGAGTCCTCACAGGTGAGAGAGGCAGCTCGATGAGCTGGTCCGTCCCGGTGATCCTCAAGGAGAGCCGTGCCACCGCAGCAGCGGTGAACAGGCAGGGTTCCACGGCATTCTCTGCTTCCATACTGCAGCCTGTCTTCCTAACCCGGGGCAGTAGTCTTCAGTTTCGGTGAACATGCTCTGTGTGTGCCCCTAACTCCTCATTACACAGTGGTTTCTACCACCAGAGTCATTTTGTTCTTGCTGGAAAAGTGGGCTGCTTGATAAGGCTTCGCTCGCCCTGACCCGGTGCTGTCTCTAACCCCAGTGGATGGAAACACACCATGTGAATGTATTGCCCTCGTTTGGGCCCTGTGCGCAGGCGCTTCAAATCCTGGGATGCTTCAGAGGAAGAATAAACCGTGCAGTGCCCTCTGTTCTGATGTCCACACTGATACCGCTCACAGAAGACTCTGGGTGCTCTAATTAAAGAACTTTGCAAATAGTTCATGTTGGTTTCCTACCCCCCTCACAACTTTGTTCTTTTGAATACACTTTTGGAGCTTGTTAAAGGCCAGGCCCCTGGCTCTATTTGTGTAGCTTTTAAAAGCCACAGGGAGTTTATACTCATGAGTTAAAAACGGGGAGCTGCCTCATGAATGTTTTCTGGCCTCGAGCACATTTTCTGCACTCTGTTACCACGGCATTGGAGCGTTATCAGATGCATGATTCTAGTGCCAAAGAGCGCGCTTGTCTCAAGTTGCACGTTGTAGCTATGGTCCCGCTCATTGATCAAAACCCAGTTTTTGTCTCTCTCTCCCTGCAAATGTGACCAGCAGAACAAGCCCACGAGTGAGTCCGCAGTCAGCAGCACAGGCGACCTGATGCACAACAAGAGGTCCAAGATCAAACCAGACGAAGACCTCCCCAGCCCGGGGCCGCGGGCTCAGCAGGTGAGGCAGCTGGCATGGGCCAGCTGATTGCTGCCCCCAGGCTGGTGTCTTTCACGGCATTTCCTTGTCCACTGACTTCTTGGCCTCATACCCACGCGTTTGACAAAAGGCCAGTTAGAGAGTCTGACTCGGTTTGTTTCTCTAGCTCAGAAGCAAACACACAAAACTGCAGGGAGCTGTTTGGGGTATAAACTGTGGGTCCTAGAGGAAGTGCTTGATTCATTTGTTCCTGTGACCAGCCTTCCGTCCTTAGCCTTGATCTTGGGCCTGAATTACGAGCTGCTGGCCCTACGCCGGAGCTGGGCAGAGCTAGCGATATCCCCCGTGCTGATCGTGTTGCCATTTGGTCTTATTTTGCCACTTCTCACTTGCCAGGAGAGCCTGGAGAACCAGGAGGGATCTGCTTAGGCTACTCAGATTCCTGGCCTTCACCCAAAGTCCTGAAAGGGCGAGTTCAGACATTCCAGTCTGGTTTCTGCTTTTAATCAGTTAGATTCTCTGCCCTCAGTTTTAAACTGTGTAGATTATGCCCATAATACCATCTCCTAGGGTCACTGTGCCTCACACAGGAAGGAGGCCAATGAATATTAATTCCCAGAAATAGTTGGACAAGAGTCTGGACATCCACCGAATCTGGACCTTGCTATGGCCAGGCTGCTTCAGCCCGGACCTCAGACTGCTGTAACCCACATTTTCTTTTTAGCGAGCACTTTCAGGATGGAATGAGTGGGTATCACGGGTTCCGACATCCATCCTTCCTCCTGCGTTTTGCTAGCTAACCACCTTGCTGGTTACACTTAAACACTTGTATACAGTTTTTGTCATCTAGCCCCAGATTAGATCCCGAATCTGCAAACCTAATCGTCTGCCAGAATTCTGGAAATTCTTTGTATTTTCATTGCTGTGAAGCTGCCTTAGAAGACTAGCAAAGACTCTGGCGCCAAGCTTTAGATGCTGTGTTCTTGGGCAGCGAGCGTATCGTTAGAGATCTGAAGTTGAACCAAGAATACTTTATTCCTATAAAATCTACAAAGTGCCTCTCGCAGCCTCCAACGGCAGGGAAAACAGTGAGAATTACTAGTAATCCATTTCCCTGGATTCCAAAATATGAGAATAAACAAATTAATATACTGAAAAGAATCTAACCCAAAGAGGAAGACCAGTCTCTTGGGTAAAGACTACGTGACATAGTTTAATTGCTTCTGTTATGGGATGGATGACATTTTAGTTGTCTTTCATCTTTGTATTCAGGACAGCAAAGTTTGCCCTCCATTTCTTATCGTCGTTATGGTTTGGACTGTTGTCTTTAATCACAAGTTAAGAACCTCTGAAGATGTATTTGATAAATCTGAAAAAATGCACACAAATGATTCCAAATGTCTAACTTCTTCCATTCACAAAATCCAATTGATAGACCTGGGCTCAATTTTATTTTCACCGAAGAAATTCCATGGAGAGGAAGACAAATCTAAGTTATCTTTTTGCTCTCTCTTCTTATCTTTCCTCCCGTTGTGTCTGATTGTTTCCCTCTCTCCTCCCTTCCCGCCACCCCTTGCCTTTCAGGAACAGCCAGAAGGAACAACCCTGGTGAAGGAGGAAGGGGACAAAGATGAAAGCAAACAGGAGCCTGAAGTCATCTATGAGACAAACTGCCACTGGGAAGGCTGCTCTCGCGAGTTTGACACTCAGGAGCAGCTGGTGCACGTAAGCGAAGGGGACTGGGAGCTGGGCTTTACGACTCTGCGACCTTTCCTGCGGGGTCAGCTCCCCTGACCCTGCGCTGAGTCAAGTTTCTGAGCTAGCAGCGTTGCAGACCGGAGGGAGCTTTATGACTTTCTGAGAATAAAGAAAACTCTGAGCCACAGTGCTTGACCTGTTCAGTCAGCTAAAGCTTAGTGTAAAATTCAATAAAGTCTTCAATAGAGAATGTAATGACTCTGATCCTGTAAGCCAGAAAACACTATTTTGAGTTAGCGACTTTGATGGTTATTGAGTAATAGTAAGCTAGACATGAATTATTATTAACCTTTTAACCAAGTTTGATTCTCCTTTCCAAGACCCAGTAACAACAGAAAAAATTGTAGAGGTGGGAGATTTCCTTTTTTCCATTCTACCTTTTTCTCCCAAACCTTCACCGTCTAAGGAATCTCTTGTTATTTTACCTGGCAGTTAGTACTCTATGTGAGATGCGTAGGTGCTTGGGCTAAACCAGTTTCCTGACAGGAGGCCAACCCTTGTGGGGCCTATAGTTTCATAGAAAAAGCGATAAGTATTTTAAAGTGTATTTAGCAATGTATATTTCTGAAAACTGCAACTGAACCACACCTTCTCCTACCATACCAGGTTCAGACGTCTTTCCCTCGCCCCCCTATGAATTATTTCGAATAATGCAATGCATGCCCCCAGCCACACACACACCTGATTCGCCATATTTCCTTCGCCAGCGCTTCATTTTATTTGGAACTTTCTCTCAGGCCAATGGAGTCTCCCTGGTAGATGGGACCAGCAGCAACCGAGATGGAGGGACATTTAGATAATCGAGAATAAAAAGATGTAGGCTCACCCACTTCTATGCAGAAGCACTGGGGTCCATTAAGGCATTAAGGATGGTTTGCTAACTATGGCTGTATTCCTAACTTTTAATATGATGGAAAATCTGACAGAGCAGCGTTTATTGTAATTCTCTCCCCTCCTCCCAACATACACGCATGTGCACACGCACACACATGCCATGCACATAGACACTCCATTCTCTCTTCTTCTATAGTAAGTTTATTTTCAGGTCATCCATATTTCTTGATAACTCTCCTCCATTTAAACACTAAAATTATAAAATTCCTCACACATCCCAGATGTTTCATAGGCTGCACGAGCTTTTGAAGTGTGTCTTTTGCAGCTTGGCCCATTCCATGTAATATACTCCACACGTTGCAGTTTCATTACAGTATTAAATATATGGTTTGCCAGGTTTTGAGATCTGTTATACACAGAATGTTTTGAGGATTTAACATGACATCAGCAGGATCTCCCCCCGCCCCATTTCTTTGTTAGTCGTGTCTTCTTGTAATTGTATAGAAAGAATTATAGATTTCTTAGCACAGCAAAAAACTATAGAAAGTCAAATGTTTTTAATTAAGGTATATTTCCAGATTTTTCCATGAACTTAATTTGATTCGTTCTCTTTAATTTGATGCAAGTGTTATTTTTAAGCCAAGCCTGACTTAATGGTTCTTTATTCTTGCAGACTGTTTTAATGGAAACCACAGACATTGTAATACTAAGGGGGGAAAACCCAGTTTGGAATTTTTCTTTTAATGTAGGGAAATATTCCCAAAGAGTAGGGTAGGCCAGGAATACCTTAGTGATCTCATCAGCGAACAACATAAATGAGGAGAATTATTTGTATAAGAGCTGCCATCATAAATGAGATGTTGGCCGTGCTGCTTGCTTCGTAAAAGGCCCTTCTGACAGATGAAGCCATCTCATGAGCCTTTTCTGTGGATAAGTCATTGCAGTTTCCAAGGAGCGCTGTGCGTATGGTCTGGCCGTTGTCACGTGAGGGATGAAATAGGAGCTTATCCTAAATCTACATTGAGAATGAGGTGTGTGGCTCACTAGAGGCCAGGGTGGAGATAACGTTTTTCGGGTTGTGGTAATTTAAACTTTTCCCTGCCTACTTCATGTGAAAGCTTTTGAAAGACAGTGAATATTGCTGGTTTTGTATTTAATCTCAGTGGTGGAAGGTTTTAGGTAGTGATAATGATTTAATGGAGAGATCCGAGTCATTTTAAGGTAAGTCTGCTTAAACTACCCTCTAAATGACCACCATGTGGTCTGTTTTACCAAAACTATCTTTAAAAAATGTGAGTGCATACATATACAGCGGAATTTTTAAAAATTCCTAATCAGCTAGAAGAACTTCATGTCAGGATTAGAGTAAAATCCAATATGTTACCTTTATGATATTAATTTTAGCCTGAGATAAATTATATGAGTAGGTAAACTTAATTAAGTGAATTAAAAATTATAACATACAACAACATAAATAACGATGCTAGTTTGTATCACTTGTTCTCCACCTTTTTACTCATTGTCTGAAGTGTGGAAATTCCAAATTTGTGCGTTTAAATTGATTTTACTTTGCAGGACACACAAGCACCTTCATAGTCAAGCCGGTATCTGGTGGCGTTAGCCGTGGCTTGGTGTGGAATAGGCCCTTTATTTTTTTGTTGATTGAAAGAATAGCTACTTCAAGTCCACCTAATTACTTTGCTGGCAGGTAGAAAAAATACCAGTTGCAAAAACCACTATTTTGGGAACAGAGGGAAGCATTAACTCTTTCCTTTCCTACGACTTTCCTTGGAGAGAGGACATTTTGTGAATTAGTTGAATTTTCATGCTACATACAACCAAGAGGCAAGGTGTTAAACCATTCTGATGCTCTGCCTTATTTATAGCCATGACCCATTCTTTTTCCCCCTCTTACAGTTAATAGAAAGATTCATGATTCTTCATGGTTGTCTATCTCGTGTCTGACAGTTCCGACGGCCCGCTAAAGCAAGTCACTATCTATAATTGATATCCTTCCGTGGAATAGGGTGCTGGCTGCAATTGAAGGGCTTTGCTGAAAGCTCTTAAATCCTGACAAGTTCTCCCCTTGTTCTGGTTCAGTCGCTGGGCTGCCCGGTTGGAATTCCAGAGTCATTTGAACTTGGTGCAAAAGGGAGACATGTGTTTCACATTAGCAAATCACAAAGTTGAAGAGGAGAATTAGGGCCTCAGCTGACTTTGCCCGCCAGGTAGTCTCATTTCCAGCGTAATGCACTCCATGTTCTCTTGAAAAGATTACCTCGTCCCATTACTGTCCGAACAGATGGGCTAAATATTGCCTTTCCCTTCTCTTCTCCTTTATTTCAAGCTCCTGTCCTTCTCCAATGGCGTGTTTATTCTAGGTTTGCTGTGGGGTCTTTATCACTGGTATGTTTAATTAATTTCTCTTCCCAGCAAGATAATTATAATTGGGCTTAGTTACTCTCAAGCTAGTATTAAATTTATCATAAATTTACTTCTACGCCCAGAAGCTAAGAAGATAAATGTATATTTTTGTTAACCAGGTTTTTGTTGTACTTTATCCCTTTCTTGGTGTCAATTAAAATAGAAGGGAACAAGAGAATAAGAGGGATATACAGTACAAAAATTCAAGTACGTTTGATTAAGACTGAATTTATTATTGATTCGTCAAAATGCAAGCACTTTCTCTTCTCTTGGCTTCTGAAAGCACATATTCTAACATCTCAAAATCAGTTGAAATGTCCACATTTTCCCTTCAATTCTAAATTAATTAGACCCCCTTTTTACTGTTGTGCGTTTTATATTACAAAAGAAAAGCATCTGAAATTTATTTCTGAAAGCCGTACAATATTCCTTTTCAAAGTGTTTCTCTTTTTGTTTTGCTTTGGGTTTTTTTGGTTTAGGTTTTGTTATGACGTAAAACATCTCCGATTCTGTCTTCTGGCCTGGCTTCTCACACAGATGAGAGAGGCTTCCAATGTATTAAGACCCATTTCCCTCTTGTATTAATTTTGCTCTAGAAATCAGTTCCTCCTTTGGCTCTTGGATGCTGGAGGCGTCTGAAATATGTACAGCATGCAAAATAAGTCAATGTCAAGTTCTCTGAAACCTGTGCACTTCATTTCTGATGACAGTATATATGCCCCTCAATGTGGGTCTCCACTGCTGCGTGGCTAGTTAAGCTTGAAAACATCACCACTGGGATCTGAAAGAAGAAAAATAGTCTAATCACCATACCTAATGTGCACCTGTTTGCTGGATCCCTGCGCTTCCTTCCCCTCTGCGTCAACAATCCAGTCCTCTTTCTGTTTAAGAAATAACACATATAATATTCTTTCCAAAGGTCTTTAAAAAGTCGAATTATTTTCTTAACAGTTTTATTCCCCATCCCCAACAGAATGGTCCTGCGGGGAGGGCCTTGGCGGTGACACTGTGGGAGCAGTGGTCCCCGCCAGTGGGGCTGAACGGCAGAGAACGTGAGCTGGGTTGATATTAACCCAGCTTCAACTGGGTGGCATTGAAGTCACTGTACTCCTCCATTTGTACCATTTAAGCGTGGTGTCAAAAATTCACCTTTTTGTAGTGTGATTAACCACCTACTTGGATTTTAAATGGCTTTCATATGCTGCAAATTTTGATGTCTAGAAGCATGCTGAAGCTTCCTTTATCAGAAGAATACAGTTATAATCACCTTTGCTGCCATTTGAAAACAAATTCTATACATTGGCAGCATGAAAATGTAAGGCTTTCTTTTTAATATCGTGGAGATTAAGATATAAAGGAAGCACATCTAATCTGTGAAGAATTGATGCACCCGTAGAAACACGGGGAAGAGTTAGGATGTGGTGCAGACATTATTTTCATATTAATACCACGATCCTAAATTTGCATTTTAAATGTTTTCCATCTCATTTTGATCCCTTTGCTAAAGTTGCATTATGTATCCTTACCTAAGAGAAAATTGGGTTTAAGATGTGATGGGGTCTCAGATACGAGGCAGAAATTAGTTTTGTGTGCATATAAAACCTAAAATGAATGAGTGCCGATTTTGATCTTATTTTCCCTACGTGGAGTTGCTAGTTAATTTAGTTACTCTACTTATTTGGAAATATTGCACGTAAAATGTAGACTAA